ACTTGCTTCATACACAGAAATAACTTTGGTTTTGTTGGAGATGGAGTCTGTTAACTTGAGTATGAAGGTTTTGGAGAGTTGGGCTCCATTGGCTTCAGAGGATGAGCCACAGCTGCTGGACCACGTCAGCAGAGTGGTCCCAGTTTGGGATAAGAGGTCTTCTACTATTTCCGTGGGAAATGGTGACTTCTTTTGGCAGAGCAAAGAAGAGATGTGGCAGTGGATGCAAACTCTTTCTGGTAAGAAACTATCGTCAGCAGTGGAGATTACAAATAGTTTGGACTTGGAAGCGACTGAGAAATTTAATAAAAACCAAGGTGAATGGTCAGTTGTATCATCAGTCCCATTAAAGAATATGGCTGGCATTTGAATTGTCAGCAATGGAAAGGAAGGGAGAAGCTGACACAAGGGCTGCAAAGTCCTCAGCTTGTTTGTCTAGGCAAGTCTTCAGGGAATCCAACATCTAATGTCATTCCAGAGGAAACTTGGTGTTGTTTAGAAATGCTAACACCTGCATTTAAGAACCCCTTGTATTCTGTACATGACAAATATCTAAGAGCTAAGTCTTTAGTAGTGCTTTTGTTACCACTTTGAAAAAGAAAAATATTACTTCCTCCAGAAAAGAGCTGAAACAATAAAACTAGGAGAAATGAATCCGGTTCCCAGAATACTTCTGCGGAAGATACATTGCAAAAAATGAAGCTTAAAGAGTTGTCTGCTTCAGTTCTGTACCAGCAAGTAAATTTTGGATGATACTGAAAGCCTTTTGAGAGAAAACTTAAATAGCTCTCTAGCTAGCGACAAAAAAAAAAATAAAAAAAAATGGCTATTGGTTTTTTACTTAACATATGTATCAGAAAATTCCTGTCACTTATCAGTGTTGGTGGTATAGCACACAGACTGCGAAGGCTACCCAGTTATGAGTGGAATGATTTATTGGAGAATTGGAAAAAGAGAGATGATGTGCTACATTCATACTTACCAGAATGTTCCACAAAAGAGCACATCTCTGTGGTGCCTTTGTGCCTATCAAGGTTGGCCTTCTTTCCAATGGAAGGTAGTTAAATGTGTCAATTTGTAATGACAACCACTTCATAGAGAATTACTCAGAGATTTAATTTCTGTAAGTGTGTTTTAATTGACATGGTATGACAAGATTTGTCTGCAACTTCCATTTTGTGAGAGTGGGTAAGAAACAGTACAGATGTTCTTTAAAGCCTCCCCCGCCCCCCAATTTATTAAATAAATTGTAGGGCCAGCTAAAGGATTTGTTAGATACTTAGTTCTGGGTCTAAAATGAGAACTAACAATAAAAAGCTCCAGATTTGGGTGGTTTATATGTTGGAATTCTACTCAACCAATCTGTCACCTGTGTAATGGTTTTTCAACCAAGGTGGCTGTTCCAAAGAAATCAGAAGAAGACTATGCATAGTTCTCTCAGCTATGGACTCCCTTAAGGAAGTATGGAAAAAACATGACATCTCGAAATGTGCAAAGTTGCGACTCGTGAAAATCCTAATTTTTTCCATAGCGATTTATAGCTTTGAATCATTGGGTGCTGATGAAGGCTCTTGTGTATCTTCTGGATTGAAAAAAGGACAAATGCCTGTGTTAGAAATATTATTGGAGAGAAGTGGACCCTTGTGTTAGAAATTAATAAGACACGGATTTATGTGCTTTGGTCACATAAGAGATAGAGGTAGAAATAACCTTGAGAAAATTATTATAGAAGGAATGGTGGAGAGTCAGATGACCAGCGAGGGAATGGATAGATGGTGTATGGCAGATCACTGGATGGCCAGCTGCCGAGTGCTCGAAGTTAGCAATGGATTGTGAAGATTTCCAAAAATTGTGATGTAGTGTACTGATGGTCAGGCAAGAATGAATGAATTTACTTGTTTCAACTTTAAGGAGTTATGAGTTTAATAATTCTCTCGTGCGCTTTCTCCCCCCCCAATCAGTTTCACTTAACCGAGGAATTTTCTGGCCTATCACTTCTGACAGTTGGTCTCAGCTCAGTGGTTAACTTTTTTTATTTTTGAATATTTGGCTAAATCTATTTCCGAGTTAAGCAGTGGGGGGTGTGAAAGGAACTTTGTATTCGACAATTTATTTTGTATGTACTCTACTCATTTAACTAAATATATTGATTTCAAATTTTGCATTGAGTTTGGGGGCAGGGCAAATAGTTTCCTATTTTGAACTGTTAATGATGAAAGATACCTATTTGCAACTGTGCAAATATTCATCTCTTAATGTGTTCCAAACTAGTTAATGGTTATACTGCACATGTATAGCAGATAGTAATTTGTAACATAAATACTCTGGGGCAGCTTGGTTCTTTTATTCTCTAGTGTTGTGGAGGGCCACAGCATTGGCTAGTTCCCTGCCCCACCACAAGATCTAAAGGAGGAATCAGAGTCATTAAGGGTACATCTATGCTGCAATTAAAAACCCATGTCTGGCCCATGCCAGCTGACTCTGGCTCACAGGGCCTGGGCTGTGGGGCTGTTTAATTGCAGTGTAGACTTTTGGGCTCAGGTTGGAGGCTGGGCTCTGGGATCCTCCTAACTCATAGGTAGAACACGGTAGAGTTCTGTAGCAATCCTCATGTGTTCCAGTAACTGCTGAGCAGTGCTGCAAAGTGATCCCAACTCCAGTTGAAGTCAATGTGAATTGAGGTCACTCATTACCTTTCAGGAGCTGGGGTTCTTATGCTTTGAAAATCTTGATACTAGATTAGTGTAATTTTTTTTGTGTTAATTGTTAATGTAAATGTGGAATATTAAAAATTTGAAGGCACCTTTTTTGGGCCTGAGTCGGCGTTCATTATAACTTATTTCCAGGTACGAAAGGAGATGTGTTGCTATCTTTCTGTCTTCAAGCTTAACCAATAAGTAGCCTACCAAGTGTCACTTCATTTTCTAATGTAAAATTTTCATTAACGAGACTTCTAAAGTGTAGATGTCCATAGCTGCTGTTGCGTATTTATTTTTCTCATAATATGGGAATGGGCAATGGCAGATACTTAAGATATGGCAATGATGACATGATAGACCAGTGGTCTCCAACCTTTTCATGCACAAGATCACTTTTTGAATTTAAGATCAATTCAAGATCTACCCTGCCACTTCCCTGAGGCCCCGCCCCATTCACTCCACTCCCCCCCCCATTGCTCGCTCTCCCCCACCCTCGCTCACTTTCACTGGGCTGGGGCAGGGGATTGGTGTATGGGAGGGGGTGCAGGCTCTGGGCTGGGGCTGAGGGGTTTGCAGTGTGGGAGGGGGCTTTGGGCTGAGCCTGGGGGTTGGGGTGCAGGAGTGAGCAAGCTTGGGGTGCAAGCTTTGGGAGGGGGTTTGGGTGCAGGGGTCATTTGGTCATACTGCACCTAATCTCATAGCATCCACTGGACATTTCATGAGTTTTCCTTTTTATTCGTGTCATTTGTGGTTTATAGATCCAAAATCCTTCAGGGATTGTCACAAATCAGTGTAACATTCTCAACTATGGGGTGTGCATTGGCTGAGTCTGGGGCAGGGGGTTGGGGTGCAGGAGTGAGGGGTGTGGGCTCTGGGAGGGAGTTTGGGTGCAGGAGGGGGCTCCGGGCTGGGGCAGGATGTGGGAGGCATGAGAGGTGCAGGCTCTGGGAGGGAGTTTGGTGCAGGAGGGGGTGCGAGCTATGGTTGGGAGGCACTTACCACAGGCGGCTCCTGGTTGGCAGTGCAGCGAGGCTCAGGCAGGCTGCCTGCCTGCCATGGCCCCATGCCGCTCCCAGAAGCGGCTGGCTGCTGGCACATCTCTGCGGCCCCTGGGTGGGAGGTGGGCAGCGGGTCTCCGCGTGCTGCCTGTGCCTGCAATTGCGGCCCCCGCAGCTCCCATTGGCCGGTTCCCGGCCAGTGGGAGCTGCGGGGACTGTTCTGGGGGCAGGGGCAGTGTGCAGATCCCGCTCCCCGCAGGGGCCACAGAGATGTGCCAGCAGCCAGCTGCTTCTGGAAGCAGCGAGGGGCTGGGGCAGGCAGGCAGCCTGCCAGACCCCTGCTGCGCCACCAGACTTTTAGAGGCCCGGAGATCGTGATTGACTGGCAGAGGCTCCAGGATCGACCAGTCTATCGCAATGGATGAGTTGGTGACCACTGTGATAGACGGTACTGTGTAATTTACAGATAAAAGCATAAGGTTAGATAACTAAGGATCATATAGATTAATATTTTAGTGTCTAGTGGGAAGAAGAAAACAGTAGATTTATAGAGCTCCCCATGCACAATAAAATGACGACAAAAAATAAATTAGAGTAAAACTGAAACAGCAAAACATGAGAAATAGGAAACTCTTCTCTTCAAGGGTGAAAAAACATAGTGGTTCATATCATTTTGTGGGCTTCAGGACTATGTATGTGGTTTCTATGCAGTGTGCATCTTTTTAATATAATGCTGCTGGATAAACTTATTTCAGTAATATCCTAGTAATGGTTTTTGCCAGCTATTTTCTGTGAATATAAAAACCCCATACTTTTAAGAGTGAAATCTAAAATCATCCTTTTATGTACAAATTTACAGCTGTAAGTTACTCCGTTTAAGATACACTGTGAAAATGAATCAATGGTGATGTGATGTCTATACATGACAAGTGTCAGAGTAGCAGCCATGTTAGTCTGTATTTGCAAAAAGAAAAGGAGGACTAGTGGTGCCACTAATACTCCTTTTTTTTTCTTTATACGTTACAAGTAACTTAGTAAGGGAAGGTTGTTGTTCCAATTTTCAGCAGAGGAATTCTAGCTTTCAGGGGTGAAATTTTTCATTCCGAAGTTATAGTACTATCAGTTCAGAGTTGAATTTAGCTTTTTACAGTGTTGCTATCATTGCTTAAGGTGCTTTAGGTATGAACAAGAAGATCTTGAGGGAAAGGAAGGGAATGTGTAATGGAAGGAATGGAGTTATGTTTATTAACCTTAGTTGCAAATATAACTAATGTTTTCTGTACTCTTCTGTTTATTTTTTCAGATCAGGGAACTGAGAAACATGAAGGAACAGTTACTTCCTCTGGGATTACTGATCAGGAAAAGGAGCTGTCAAGTAGTGCATTACAAGCTTTTAATGTAAGAAAAGGCTTAAACTTCAAAACTTTCTGTTGAACTTACTTGATTATTTAAACTATCACCTGGCAACCAATTTGTTCCCTTTTTTTTTTTTTTTTTTCAAGAGTAATAGTAAATGTATCAACAACATAAATAAATTAAATCTAAATTAGTAGCAGACTTCATTATAATATAGTGACATGTCCATTTTGATTAATCTAAGATATCTGATATAATGTGAGAAGACATAGAGGGCTCTTGAATTTAGGGCAAACAGAAACATAACCAAATCTTTTTCTAGGTTCCCAGAGTTCAGTCACTATCAATGCTATGTGATTGGTGAGAATTGGGTAAAATAAGCAGACAGCTATTTTGTGACAGTTCTGTCAACTCTGTGTGCACTCACTGAAGAAAAGTTTCCCTAATTTTAGCTATCAATTTGTGGACTTCAAAATAGTTTAAAAAAGCGAAGTTCCTTTATCATTTTGGCTGTCCTGCTGAATATACTTTTGTAGTATACTTTTGAACACTACACAACATTTAAATGTCCACATAAAGGACTTACACACAATAATTTGATAACTTGTGTTCAATACCTCTTCCTATACTTCCTGGAAGCTTTTGTTTGTATATTTAGTAATGTGAAGGCACAAGCTATAAGCTTTTTAATTTTATTTACTTCTTACTTCATATTTCATTCCTGTTTTGTATTCTGTAGCTTATGGCTGTTGGAGGTATGTTTCCGTTTCTTTGTTTTTCTTTGTACTTACTTTTTTCTACCTTGAATTTCATAAACCAGTTTTCTTATGATACATCTAGTTTATCCAAATCATTTGAATTGGTTGTGTTGCTCATTTTAGATGTCCATCCTCCTTTTCCATTTTGTTGATCATATGCCAATATTGCTTATACAATATTGTTATGTAAAGTGAACAAAATTGTCCTAATATAGGCTCTAGTGGCATTATCACCCTCTCATTTCTCAAGTGATTCCACATCCTATTGTCCTGTCTTAGGTATCCTTAACTTTTTTCCTCTTTGGATAGTGGGAAAGGATTTTTTTTGAGCTAATTTCATATTATTCTAACTGGATTTGAATGACCTACTGCTACCTTTGTTATTGGTTCTAATATGGACCCAGCCCACTTTGCTTATCCACTCATGATATAATGTCTCTGTACCTAGAAGACTTTTAACATATCCGGTTCTAAGGAGGTGACAAAAGAAGACAGAACCACATCTACACTTCCAGTTGTCAGTATTGCTTAGTGTTAAGTTGCCCATAAGTAACCTTGTCAAATGTTTTTGTCATTTCCCTTTCTGGCAGAGCTCCCTGACAGGAGGATGCTGAGAGAGGAGCCCAGGGGTGCTCAGTGTAGTAGAATCAGCAGAAGGGGGAAGAGTAAGATCTTGTGTAATATCTTGCTAAGAAGAGCTCAGGGAGACCCAAGAGAACAGTGTTGGACTCTGAGTGCATCAAGTAGTGGCAGATAAGGGAAGGAATCTGCAAGCCTGACAAGTTAGATAGGAAGTAGTCTCTGGATGAAGAGAGGAGAGGAACTTGAGGCCAGAGAAGATTACCACTCCTGGATGGCACTTGATGCTGGAGCAGGAGGAGGGATTGGGTTCCCCATCACCTCAGCAGCACTACCTCTGGGTGGCGCTGCTGAAATCTGTGCTACCCAGGGGAGAGTGCAATTGACTATTGTGAAACCCTGCTGTCTAACAAAGGAATTGCTTGCAGGTGGAAGGCCAAAGATAGTTTTGCTCTGTCATAATAAACCAGACTCCAAGTGGAGACTTACGTGAAACACATGAGTATGTGCAAGTCAGAGGAGAAACTGAGGCCTAGATGACCAGTTGCTGGAATACACCAACCCTGTTGCACATGCCCTCAAATAAATTGTGAAGTAGTTTATTTAAAGCTGGATTATTAAAGTTGGTAGATCTCAAACTTCACCTGCATTTATTTTTTTATATGTTTGTTTGTATAGGCTAACACTTTAATATGTTCCCCACTCAGATGCCTCAGTGTTTTTTTTTTTTCCCCTCAGAGTTATAGCCTGATATTTATAAGCAACTCTACAATAACAAAAAAGTGTACTCATGACTGGAGAAGGGATTGTGAAAATTCTGAAAGGAAGACAGGTTTTAGTTTCAAGATTCCAGAGGGCTAATATAAACAAGGACGAATACATTAGAAACTTCCCTTTCAAATAATTTTAGGATTCTTCCATTTCAACTCTTCTTTCACAGATTTCTTTCAATTTCTTTGAATCTTGTGCTCAATTTTAGATTTGTTTCCCATATTTAATTTTCATCAGTCTCCCATTACAGCACACCTTTAGTTATGTTTTGTGTTTCAGCTTGGCAGGAAACAATTGTCTTTATGGGTGTGAAGAGTGGAAATACAATTTTATTCTATAAACTGGAAGAGAGTACTTTTATATTGAGTTACTAACATGTTGATTAAACATTTTTTCCTAATGTATATTGTTGATGTGTGTGCTCCCACTTACAGGCTGGGAATTATGATGCTTGTCTGCAACATCTTAGCTGCTTGCAAGAAATAAACAAAGATGACTACAAAATAACTTTGAATACAGCTGTTGCAGAGTTCTGTAAAAATAACCAGACTACAACAGACAACTTGAAACAAACACTTAATCAACTGAAGAATCAGGTAATGCAAAAATAGTGAGGTGCTTTTTGAATTCAAGTAGTGTCTTCCGCTTACATCACGGTTGGGGCCCTCTATCAGTTGACAGAACAAGAAATAATTTGTAAAGTTTAGATAGAATAGTGTCTTGGTTATTCAAGTAGTTTTATTTTCTGCTTTTAATTTAATTATGTTCGTAAATGCTTTGTTTATATCAATACTTCCCATTAACACCATATAAGGGTTTATTAGCCTATGAGTAGAAGGTGAAATTTTCTTTATCTTCATACGTGGATCAGTCCATAGCTTTTAACTATTGTTTCCAAATATTGGACCTTTTCCCCCCACAGTGAATACAGGAATTCTGACTAAAACAAATTTACTTTTTTTTTTTTTTTTTTTTTTTGGTAGGTTCATTCAGCTGTTGAAGAAATGGATGGCTTAGACGATGTTGAAAACAGCATGCTTTACTACAATCAGGCGGTTATTCTGTATCATCTGCGTCAATACACTGAAGCAATATCGGTTGGAGAGAAGCTTTACCAGTTTATAGAACCTTTTGGTATGTAGATAGGAAGGCAAAGTTATTTCTTATATTTGTTCCCCTCTGGTTTAATGGCTGCAGACTGTTAAACTGTTTCTTGACCGAAAGCTTCTTGTGATTGATTCTTCTGATTAAGAGGGGTGTGTGTGTGTGTGTGTGTGTGTATTATATAAATATGAATGATCTGCATTAGCAATTGATACACACGCGCACGCACACAGTAGCTGAGATTTAGAAATAAAGAAGGTGCTGTATGTGTATATCAAGAGAAGCATGATTCAAACATGGGGGCTATGTCTTAAGATAGCAGTAGAACAATGTTTCCCAAACTTGGGACGCTGCTTGTTCAGGGAAAGCCCCTGGCGGGCCGGGCTGGTTTGTTTCCCTGCTGTGTCCGCAGGTTCAGCCGATCGCGGTTCCCACTGGCTGTGGTTCGCCGCTCCAGGCCAATGGGGGCTGCAGGAAGTGGTGGCTGGTATGTCCCTCAGCTTGTGCCGTTTCCTGCAGCCCCTATTGGCCCGCAGCTGCAAACTGCAGCCAGCGGGAGCCGTGATCATCCGAACCTGCGAACGTGGCAGGTAAACAAACCAGCCTGGCCTGCCAGGGGCTTTCCCTGAACAAGCGGCGTCCCAAGTTTGGGAAACACTGCAGGAGAACATATATTATTTTTATCTTGAATATGAAATGGATGTTAAGGGGTTGACTTCTTTCCGAAGATGCATGTGCAAATACCATGATTGTACATGCAGAATCTTATATGTGCATGAACAAATGGGCAGTTAAGCATACAATGCAATTCGTGTGTGTGTGCGCGCGTGCAAATAATCTATAGGGCTACACAAGCTGTAAGGAACTGTGATAACCAGACATGCAAAACCCACGAAAAAACGCAGAAATTGGGCTTGTTTTTGTCTTAATTAGCTTGTGAGTTGCTTGTTGGCTAGTTTATGGCTTGTAGCTTGTTGCTTCTTTTTTTTGATCAGCTCCCAGAAAGCAGGGGCAAGTGGGGTAAAGAGTCAAGGGTGCACAGCAGGCCCACCACAGTCCCAGACTGCACACCGGCGGGATCTAGTCACATAGAGTGTTGGGGTTCTTAGGAATTGGCTTGTTTTGAAATGGGATCACCTTGATTTTTGGCTTATTGTGAAGTCTGGGTGCTTATTTACTGCATGGAAGTTGGCAACTGTGGGATAACTTGTATGTAATTGTATGCACTCACCTTTGAAAATTAAGTCCCCCATAACTGTAAACAGTGGCTCTCTGTGTAGTGGAATGGTGCTGTGCTTGCCTGATAGGATTTAGAAACCTTGCTGAGCTACAGAAGTGTTAAGGTTGTTTGCTGATGCATGCTTGTGTGTGGGGGTGGGGTGGGGCGGGTCGTTGTCAGTAAATCCATTAAGTGAGAGCAACCGAAGGAACAACACATTGTCAATTTTTTATATGCCAACTATCATACTGGTGTATGATATCATACATGAACTTAGGGTTCAGTCTCAAAGGCATCTATGCAGAGACACTTAGCCTTGTGTAGAGTTCTACTGACTTTGATGGGATTCCATGTAGCCATATAGGTCTGCCCACGTTGATCCCTTTAGGGGATTGGTTCTCCAGTGCTTACCAGTTAGACCAACTTTCAAAATAAATTTTTTTTTTAAGAGGAAATGTTTAATTGTCTCAATATTATATACTGTATAGGCTTGTTCATAAGCCAAATATTTTTGGTAAAGTGACGCATCAAAGAGCAGGGGTCAGCTTATAAATGGGTCTACACTAAAATTTGATGATTTTAAACTCTATGAAATCATTGAATTGAATATCTATCTAATATATTGTCGTTTTGTTTACCTGGAGCGTTCACAGGCACGGAGCCCCTCAGTTCCCTGTGGCCGTGGTTCGCCATTTCCAGCCAATGGGAGCAGAAAACTGCGGCCACTGGGAGCTGAGGGGCTCCGTGCCTGTGAACGCTCCAGATAAACAACACATCCCGACCCGCCAGTGGCTTACCCTGACGGGCTGGGAGCCAAAGTGTGCCAACCCCTGAAATATAGGGTTGGCATATGAAAGAGTCACACGGTTTTTACTATTTTTACCTATCCATCTTGGGAGGGCGGGGGGGGAGGAGTCTGCTTACAAACGAACAGGCTAATGAATGAGTATATACGGTATTTTAATGTTGACAGGTCAACATTTTCAGTGTTTGTAGGTTTGTTCATCAGGATCACCATATATAGTGCATTCAAATTAATTTTAGAACACTTTATGACAGTGCTTTATGGCTATGGGTGTTTTCCCAGTTATGGATTAGTGTGGGCTACATATTAAAAATATAATATTTCTTTCTCCTTTCTTTGTCTGATGTAGAAGAGAAGTTTGCCCAGGCTGTGTGCTTCCTGCTTGTAGACTTGTATCTGCTAACTTACCAGGCTGAGAAAGCCTTGCATCTGCTTTCCGTTTTGGAAAAAATGATTTCTCAGGGCAATAATAACAAAAATGGAAAAAATAATGAGGTGAGTATGTTTCAGAGGACCTTATTTAAAAAACAACAACTATTGGGTGTATTCATGGCAATATGCTTTGGGCTAATCCAAAAATAACCAATAGCTTTTTCAAATAGTTTAAATTTTAAAAACTATGTTAGCATGGTTTTAATCTTAGACTGCCACTGGTCACTTTGTAACTCTGTTTAATTACATTTGGCATGTGTATATATATTCTCCTGCATCCCAAAAGATTGAGAGGTGTTTCCTATTGTCAGATTTTGCATTAGTGGGACGGGTACAGTCTTTAAGGTCAAATATTCCCACTTTGTCTCCCTGGCTGACAGCTTTAAGCTGTAACCAAGAAGCTCTTGCTTTGGACTGCAGTTCCTTTGACCCTGAGCCAGGGAAGTAACTAGTAGGTCAGAGAAGAATTGCCTCTGCTGGTTGAGAGATCGGAGGCGTCCTTGAGTATATGAGACGTGTTCATGTGTTGCTAGTTGGGGTGAAATATGCTTTAGTTGGCACTGAAATTCTGCTACTAAGAAGTACCCTTTTTGGAGTAAGAAGTAGATTGAGGCTAGACAGGGATCTAATTGAATATAGAACACTTCTTTGTTCTGTTAAAGGAATCTATTGTTGTCTATCTTAAGTGTACACTAACTTTACTGAAGAGTCTGAAGGACAATAGAAGGTGACTTGACATGAAAATGTCATTTGCAGAACCTAAGGATGTATAGATAAAATGTCCTTGGCTTCCTTATGTGTTAGTGAACTCTTAAAAACCACCTAAGTGCCAGAACAGGATGTGATGATATTAGCAGACGTTCTTGTGTGAACATGGACCTTCATTCTCTATAATCTGGTGCGTTTGTTCTTGGATGTAGATTTAAATATGACTGTGTTTTCTTCAGTGGACATCGATTTTCCCCTCTGATATTAAAGCTAAGAAAAATAAACCTGTACACTGGATTAAAGACGAAATAATATTTTCTCCTTTTAATTTGTGTTCAGACAGGTAATAACGCAAATAAGGAGTCATCTAATCATAGGGCTGAAAGTGGAGCTTTAATAGAAGCTGCAAAATCTAAGATACATCAGGTAGGAAACTTTTTGGTGTCCAGAATTAGATATTTATATGCAATTTAAAATTGATGATCTCATTTATCTTTATTAAAAAGAGGTATTGAATACTGTGAATCTAGTTAGTCTTTAAAATTAGTTTAAAAGTAGTTTCGGATACTACACCTGCTCCTGAATTCCTTGACTATTTGTAAAACAACCCCTCCACCCCCAGTGTCTGTATTTTAATTTCTCCCCTGTTTCTGTAAAATCTACACAAGTAAGGAAAGCTGACTAAAGAACAAAGGGGCAGAACTTCAAATGGTGTTAATTGTTGTATCTCCATTGAAATCAGTAGAGCTATGACCGCTTATACCGTAATAGTGGAATTATGACAGTTTACACCAGCTGAGGAGCTGCCCCAGAGGACTATTAAATGAATAAAAAGAAAACTGAAAAATATTTTTCTCTGATCTTTGTTATAGAAGTTACTTATCACAATAGTAACAAAAAATTGTATCGCTGAGATTTTTTAACTAAGGGCTGATGTTGAAGTTTTGAAACTTGTTACTCAACCATCATACTGAATCTCTTTTACAATCCATTTTACAGGATTCTGTAGGAGTTATTTTGTTAGAAGCCTGTAATTAAATTTTCTCTTTATATTCTGAAGAGGAGTTTTATTTTTAGACAGTTTTTAAATAGCTTTTCTTAATGTATATAAGTACAATATTGTGTAGTAAACTTAGGCATGTTGCATCTTACAGATAACATCAAACTGCATAATTTACTAAACTGTTTTAAAACGTTAATTTTTAAAATTATACTAATGAATTTTTTTTTAATTTAACAGTATAAAGTGAGAGCCTATATCCAGATGAAGTCTCTAAAAGCATGCAAAAGGGAGATTAAGTCTGTTATGAATACAGCTGGAAATGTAAGCTTTTTTTAAAGCATAGTCTGTTTGCAGTCTAGGTCAATGCTCTGTCCTAAAACTAAACTCGTTTGACTTTATTTCTGTTCTAAAGTTTGAGACTATGGGGAAGTGTCTGAAATAAGAAGAGCTTTGGCATTAGTCTTGTTTATAATTTACTTTTGTATAATTGCAACTCATTATTATGGAATTATTATTTGGATTGGCTATTTATGTGCTCAGAAAATCACGCTCAGGGTTTTTGTTAATTTAAGATATAAAAGTTTAAAAAATGAAGCACTATATAAACAAACTCTAAAGCATGGATTATAATAACCTTAATCAAAGAGTAAGCGACTCCCAACAGAATGTAAATTTCTCTAGAAAAGTTATGGAAGTCTAATCTCCAGTTGATGCAAAGAACTTTATTCACTGACTAGAATAAGTTTTCCTGTTCATTGATAGGATTAAACTACTCCATAGTTGATCAATAATAAGAATTTGGGGGTACTAAAATCTGTTGCTTCAGTTGAAGTTTTTCAGATCCTTTCATTTTGTTAGAGGCAGTATGTCCAATATAATTCACTTTTGCAGAGCTGGAAGAAGATGCATTCTAGTGCATTCTTTCCATGTGAAGAAAATAAGAATGTTTACAGAACAGTTTGTATGTATGTGTGGTATTTTTCAATTTTTTTTTTTTAAAGCAGTTACAAAAACTTTTAGTTAGAAGTCAAGGTGAATTGTCATTGATAGCTATGAGAGTTCTAGAAAGAGAAAAATGTTAACTATATATCTGAGGAACAAGTTTTGCTGCATTAAAATAAACACTTCTGTTTTAAAATAGCAACAATTGTCAAACTGTGTTACTATTGCAGTTTAACAATAACAGTAGATCTCCTAAAGCAATTGATAAATAATTCTTGTTTTCTTCACAGTCTGCTCCTTCTCTCTTTCTTAAGAGCAATTTTGAGTATTTGAGGGGGAATTATCGGAAAGCAGTAAAACTGTTAAACAGCTCAAACATTGCTGAACATCCAGGATTCATGAAAACAGGTAAAATAAAGCATAAAACTCTGATTGTGCAACCACTTACACACATGCTTATCTTTACACACAAGTAGTCTCATTGAGTTCAGTTTTAAAAGACATTTTTTGGTGCATAAAACCCAGTTCTTTTTTATTTTGTATGAACTGGGTTTTCCAATGTTTTAATTCTCATTGAGTTCAGTAAGACTATTCACAAGCGTTCAAGTTAAGCGTGTGTGTAAGTGCTTACAACACTGGGGCCTTAAATACCATGTTTCTTTATCTTCCTTAGCTCATTTTCCATATCCTTTTCCTCCCAACCCCTAATTGTTTTTGTGTCTGTTTAAAACAAAACTCTAATCCAGCCTAGCAGATATTTAGGAGTATTGTCACATGAAGAGGTGAGGTGTTTTTTTTTTTATTTTATTTTGTTTTATTGGTGTTTTGTTTTTTTTTGGAATGCCTATGTTTGGACCAGTAGAAACTAGAAGCATAATGGAAGGTGAGTGTGAGGTTCTATGCTGCGCCCAGGGGAGACGTTATATGAGACACGGTGCTAGCTGCAGGGTGAATTCAAAGTTTGCATTGAGTGTTTGCGGTTGGCTCAAATCTTGTGGAGCTTAAACTACTTGTAAATATTTATATCTTCTTTCAAGTGAGATGGAAGGCATAAAAATGGTCTTTTAGCCAACATTGGTAACTTAAAACCTTGGAAAACCCAGTTCATACAAATGATAAAAATGGGTTTAATGCAAGAAAAGACATTTCTGTGTTTTAAATAATATAGCTATTAAATGCCCTTTCTTCCATAAAGTTTCATTCGCCGTGTTTTTTTGCAACACTTCTTAATATGCTCTGTGAAACCTCTTGCCACCACAAGGGTGTTTCTTCATCTAGCAGGTATTGCTGGAGAAATAGCAGCTACATGAATAATAGTCATGGAATCTGCCCTGGAAATATCACAGTTCTCTGATTACTTGAATAGATGCAATTAAATAAATATGAAGTTGCTTAATTTAGAAACTAAGTTATTTTTTATTAGTGGTAACCTTGTGAAACTGCCTTTATAAGTAAATAGGTCAAAAGTTAAATTGTCAATGTTTTCTGAACACCATGTATGTGCAGTTTCAATCTGAGAAGCCCTCATTTCTCTTCTGCTTGTATAGTTGGATTAGTGTATTTGCTTATTTTATTAAACATTGAGCAGATAATGTCATGTAAGAATTTCCTTCTTACAGGAGCCATATGTCAGAAAACTGCAAGTGTTTACACATGAAGTACTAAGAGAACTTTCAGATTAATGTGCTGTAAATTGAAATCTGCCACAGTGGTTTTATTCCCTGCTGTTCAAGAACATGATGCATGAGAAGCTCACCAAACCCCTTACCACTTATCAATTTAAATAATGTTGTGTGTTCAAAGGAAGTAAAATGGTACACAGAAGTAGTAGGTGATTAATTTATTGTCTCATTGGTCTTCATAATCGATCATATCATACTATGTTTAGTTTAGCTCTTCACAGGAGTATCTTGCTAAGAATGTACAATAATGTCCTGAGCTATAAAAATGTTTTGATTTCTGATTATATTTTGCTGTTTTCTCAGGTGAATGCTTAAGGTGCATGTTTTGGAACAATCTCGGCTGCATTCATTTTGCTATGGGAAAGCACAATTTAGGAATCTTCTACTTTAAAAAGGCCCTGCAGGAAAATGATAATGCATGTGCACAACTAGGAACAGGTAGCACAGACCCAGGTAAGACCTGTAACAGACACAAAGCGTGGTGGTGAAGTGAGTGTTTTGATTCAAATAAATTGTTACTGGAGAGCTTATATTAGTACTTCTTTTTTTAGTAATTACCATTCAGTGATCCACAAGGGACAGGGTAAGAAGGAAGGGAGTTTTGAGTGTACTTGATTTCAGAATATAGCTGCCTGCTGTCAGAAATAGATGATGAAAGGTGTGTCATTTTCTTGCTTGCTTCAGCATGTTGGAAGCTTTGGTAATTATTTCTACATTTGTTTACGCTATTTGATTGTCAGTCAAGAGGGTCTGAAATAAACACAGTTTTCCTGCCCTATTGTACATCATTAAAACCATTACTCATGATCTTGCTGACTTGGATTGAGTCATCAAGGTTTGAAAGTCTCTCTCATTTGCTGCCTTAAAAATCATTTTAACTGTGTTTTGTCTTAAATACAAACTTCTCAACCTTTTTTGTTAGTGAACTGTCCAGGTTTGTGTGAATTTTCACCTACAATTAGTCTGATTTCATTATGTTTATCTGACGCCGACTTTGATATAATCAAAGTTTTTTTGTTTTTTTGTTTTTTTTTAAAAAGCCTGATTTTTAAATGATTCATGATACTGTATCTCTTAATTGTAACTCAGTCTGTTATTATGAGTTTGTTTGGTTTTTTTTTTTTTTTTTCAACCAGAAATCTTGCATCAAGTCATATTTCATTTTATGTTAAATCCACACTTTACCAATTTGACAACTAGTTCTCAGTGTAGCTTGTTAATTCTTATAAGTGTGTATTATGGTGGTATAGACCGTAATGTCAATAAAAAGGGAGAGGCTGTTTATGATGATATTAAAATAGTAAAACAGGCACTTTTAAAAAGTGGAACTAATTTGTTACAAATTTTATAAAAATTGAGAATAATGGAGAAGCCAAGGGCATTTAGATGACTTTGGAGTTGTATGATATTTCATATCTAATATATTGAGTAATCAGCATAGTTAGTTAATAAGATTAAAACAGTCTATACTCTGACTAAGGTGCATTTTTTTGTTCTGAGGTCAACTCTAAGGTGGGAGGAATTTATTTACAGAGGGAAATTAGTGAATGTTTATATGATGCAATTATTTTTCCAGCAGTATTCTTTCATTTCTGCCCTCTTACACTGGATACCCAATATTATCTAACCTCTCTCACAGGCAAGAAATTTTCAGGGAGACCTATGTGTACGTTGTTGACTAATAAACGGTATGAATTGCTATACAACTGTGGAATTCAGCTTTTACATATTGGGAGACCCCTAGCTGCTTTTGAATGCTTGATAGAAGCTGTCCAAGTTTACCACTCAAACCCACGCCTCTGGTTGAGACTAGCAGAATGCTGCATTGCTGCCAACAAGGGGGTAAGTAAGTCTGCTTCAGAAGCCATCTGATCACACACCACTTCTAAAAACCAGTATCCTTTTGAAAAGAAGAAATATTCCTTGAGTTCTACTGTACATGTTACAGGCCTGCTTCTTCAATATTTAGTTACGCAAATAATATACTATTGTGAATTTATATCAAATTATTTTAATATGAAGATATCTACCTGCTTTACAAAGGTGGATAAGCACTATCTCCATTTTATAGAAGCGGAAATTAAGGTCTGGAGGTTAACTCACTTGTCGTATGGTCAAAAAATGTCGTGGTAGCTATTTTAGAATATTAGTAAGGGATAACAGGAAAATATGTAAGTGGATGTTAGGACAATTCCTCACTAAAGTTATAGGCTTTGTATATGAGACTAGTGAAGCATGCTTTCTCCTGGCAAATTTATATGACATTAATGCATTTAGACCATATTTAACTCATTACAATACTTGGTAGACATTTTTAACATGCTCTGAAGCAGAGTTGTCTCCCAAGTCTCTGCATGGCTTAGATTTGATTTTGTACTGACTTTATTTTGGGGCTAAAAATAAAGATAAGGAATGAATCAGCGGTAGTTTGCAGTGTGGCTTCACCCGTTAATAAGATACAACATGCTACTTCTCCATGGTGAAAACTCAGACTTGCCTTATCATGCCGTCTCATTCACCCCACTGTTCTTAGGTACTTAATGGGACCTAACCTTCCCATTGTGCTTTCACACTGATAGCAAAATTTTACTCCCTCTTCAGGCCATATTGTTCCTTGACCCAGTAGAACTAGTTGTACTGTGGGGTAGTTGTACTGTGAAAAGGAGAATCACAGGATTTAAAAGTCTTGCATGGGCTGTACATCCTTCTCTGTCCTGTGGAGTTCTGCTCTGCTGGGGCTCTCAGTGCAAGGAGTTTTGGGGATGGGAAGTAGTAAGGTTAAGTGGAACTGCTGGCCAGTTCTCTTATGGGAGCATAAATATCCATGCAGACCGTTGCTAGCAGTTACAGTATAACTACTGCTGCTCTGTGGCAGTGGGGTGGGTTTCTTTCTCTTCTCTCCCACTCCCTTCTCCCAGTCTCAGTGGAAATTCCCACTCCACGCATCCCACATCCATATGCCAAGATGTATGATTTGAGTGCAAGTATATTGTTACATTTGCACACACAAATGTGTTAGCTGGCTTCTTGTGACCTGTATTTGTTTACTGCTGAATATGCTGGTATCTAAATCCTACAAATTGTCTTACTGTGTCAGTCCCTCTAGTCCAATGCCCTGTCTCTGATAGTAACCAGTACTAGGTGCTTTTAAAAGAAGGTGGGCAGAATTCTGACCAGTGTCATTTAGTGGTTGGCATTTGTCCTGGTTCTGGTTCATGAGGGTTGGTTTGTATCCCTTAGGATAAACAAAAAACAAGTCCTATCTAATATAAATATTTTCTCAAAGTAGGGGTATGGACTGCATGTGATAGGAATCTAAACAGGATATAAGCAACAAGCCATACAGTGGTGTATGTAGAATCCTGGTATATGACCTTTTTCCTTTCTTTTCACACATCCAAAACTAACTGCAGGCTTTCATAATTTCCTATCTTGATTATTGCACCCTTTTTCTCTCTGGCTTCTCTGAAATCTGGGCCACTCTATCCAGTCTGTACAAAAATGCATCATCTCTGCTCTTCGTTCTGATCCCATCCTCCTCTCTTTGAATCCCTCCACTGGAAACTCTTCTCTCACAGTATCAAGTTGAAATTTCTTGTTCTTTTTGACTTTCAGTGCCTTACACAACTCTTCCCATCCCTGTTTTTATGTAGTTTTGTTCTCTTTATTGCATGCACTTCTGCTCATGTATTTGCTCCTACAAACACTTTCATGTTTTCACCAATGCTATCCTTGAATTGTTCTGTAAGGTTCCTCTACTCCAGTGATTTTCAAACTTTTGTACTTGTGACCCATTTTATGCAGCAAGCCTCTGAATGTGACCCCCTTTATAAATTAAAAACACTACTTTTATGTTTAACATTTATTATAAATGCTGGAGGCGAAGCAGGGTTTGGGGGTGGAGTTTGACTGCTCAGGACCCCCCCATGCAATAACCTTACGACCCCCAGTTTGAGAACCCCTGCTCTACTCTCTTTCCTCCTTTAATTCCCTCTCAAGACCTGCTTGTCTCATGTTGCCTACAAGAAACCAGCCAGTACTTAATAGCTAGGCTTACAAATATAGAAAATGTTATGTATGGTGCCTCTCCCCCACATTTTATGTTTCTGCCTTTTGGATTGTAAGACTTTTGGGATTGGGACCATATTTACATCAGACTGTAAAGCTCCTAGCCCAGTGGGGCCCTAATCCTGATACAGGACTTGGACATTACCATGAAAGAAATATTTAATAACAGTGATGTCACAAGAAATTCTCAGGTCCATGGCCTGCCTTAATCTGGCCCTGATTCTATGCACACCACATCATGGGACATGGCTCTGCCCCTGTGCTGTGGCCTTGCATCCCACTTGAAATGGTAGCAGCAGGGCCTTCCGTTCTCAGAGAGGCAGGGGCAGCGGATCCTCTTCTCTTCTCCTGGAGTGCACCAGCAGCCCACGGGATGGTCTCCCACAGCTTTCTCCAAGAAAAGCAAGGGTGGCAGTAGGAGGGCCCCCAGTTCTTTCTCCAGAACCTGTAGTATTTATTTTAGTGGGTGGGCTAAGCCCACTGCATTATTCTCCTTCTGCTACACAGACCCATGTTGGGATGATGTCAAGTTTGGTGGGGGGATGTTTGCCGAGATTGGGAGTTAACACCCCATTGAGATACAGGGGCAGTTCATATCTGTTAAAGCTACTGCTTTATGCTCTCTGGAAGCTCAGGCAGATGTCATTGCGTTGGATCACGTTTTCATGCTTTTCTTCACAATTGTTGAGGGCTAGAAACATACTTTATTTTATCATAGATGGAGCTGGTAACTGCTGCTATAATTGGGGTTTCCTGGCTCTTCTCAGTAGAAGACTTTGTTTGGCTTATAACTTTGCCAGACTTAAACTGTGTAGGCTGAAATTGTCCATGCTGGGTGTCTACCTCACAATGAATCTTTTTGAAACTTTCAGCAAAAATGGTTCAGCTGTTTAAGGGAAAATGTCCTTTTGCCTATGTTAAAAATCTTACAACCATTTTGTTGAAAAGCTGTAATGCCTGCTTTGGAGCCAGGTCTTGAAATTTGGCCAGGGGAGTTGCATTCGTGTCAGGGATGTGGCTTTTGCTTTTCCCATGGAAGTCTTCCCAAATTTGGCCAAAGTATAAGACTGAAAAAAATCTGCTAGCAAATGCTCCATAAAAATATTGTTAGTTGTGGCAGCCAAATTTTCCAGATTCTGTCTGCACTGAGCATACTCCAGCCTGGGATTGCAGAGGCTGAACTCGACTTTCCCTGCAGTTGCTGCTTCTGGCTGCTGTGGCACTAGGCACTGGAATTAAGCAGGGAGACTCTCTTGTGCTCTCAATATTTCTCCTGCTGGTGACCAGGCAGTGTGAAGCAGGAGCAGCAGCTTGACTGAAATGCAGAGGGGACAAGAGCTGGAAGGGAGAAGATACTGGCACTGGCTGGGCAAGGAGACTAGGGAAAAGGAGCTTGGGAAGGAAGACTGGCACTGAGAGCCTTAGATTTTACAGGGGGCATGGGGAGAAAGATTGGGATTTGGACATGGAAAGGAGGAGACTAGGACTGGAACTGGGATTAGAAACTGGGTTTGGGGAAGAAACTTGTATGCGACTGACACAGGGACAGGTCAGAGGGGACACAGGTAGAAGGAGTCTGGCTTGAGGGGATCAGGAAGTGAAGGGTCTGTACCTAGAAGAGCACACTTCTCTCCCCTCCCCCCGAACCTGGAATTGAACCCAAGGTTGCTGAGTCTTGACGTTCCTCTGCTGTCAGCAAATACTTGTGAAACGCACTGCAAAAGTATGTCACATCTTCTTGGTGACCCCTGAAACATCAAGATGCTTTCACATGATAGACTTTCTGGGTTTTGGGTTTTTTGGTTTTTTTAATACCTGGGAAATTAAACATACAAAACTACATAAAGTTAAGGTTGCAAAGTCAAACTCTCAAAAGTTACAAAATGGTGAGGATTAAGATTGCCTGTGGAATCTTAATTCAGATCCCTTGTGCATATATGTTATAATACAGTCTTTAATTACACGATGATATCCTAAATTTTGCCCAGGATCCCTGCCTCATTCAGGGCACAGGATAGACCTGATCTGGGGATACATTAGGGTTGTGTAGCGAAAGAGACATGTCTGTAAGACCCCACCTTTGTTTGTTGCAGAAGTTGGAAAGTTTGTACTATTTGAAGTACTTGGGATGGGTGGCTGTAGGCCCACCCAAAACTAAAGGCCTGAGTTCAGGGAGAAGAACCACTGGACCCATGCATCTATTGAATATGGGGGACAACAAATGAAAAAAATAGGGTGAGGGTGAGGTCAGAATATAAATATTGGTAGTTTAGATTATTTAGCTTCATATTATGTAAAAAATTTTAATGTCCTAGCAATTCTAAATTTGACTATTTTTGAAAATGACTTGGTTCATTGTCTTTCTTTTTTTTTTTATAACAGGAAAGACTAGGTCAATAGACTATTGAACAAATTATCAAAAATAATCCCTGAAGCTTCAAGTTAGTTGGGGTATAGTAAAACTGCATTGTGAGGACAAATTAAAAGTTCCTTATCCTTCATGATATTTGGATGACAGTAAAACTTTCTGGGGTGTTCTACCATCTCCAGGCGAATTCCAAATCAATGCAGGTTAGCTGGGTTCAGTAACGTATGTGTAATGTTCTGTTTTCTCAGCCCTGCAGCTTTTATGTCAAGAAGATCACCTGTTCAGCCTCATTGATATTTTCAATCCTTCTTCTTTTAGACATCAGAACAAGAAACTAAAGGTCTTCCAAGCAAAAAAGGAATTGTACAATCTATTGTAGGTCAAGGCTATCACCGTAAAATAGTCCTTGCCTCACAGTCAATACAGAATGTTGTTTATAAGTAAGTGTGCAAAATTTCTGTACTCTGTTACTTTCTACTCATCTCTGTAAAGGGTGTATGGCTGTTTAGAATATTTTTTTCTGGTAAACTTCCTTGTCTTTAAACGTGAATAACTTTATTCATGTGAATATTCCCATTGATTTATATGGGACTACACATATGGTTAAAGTTACTCATGTGTTGAAATGTTTACAGGCTTGGGGTCTTAGTGGGTGTCTAGTGTTGGATGGGCAACAGAAGGCTTATTTATGTGTTTAATGAAGCTCAAATTTTGGTTGGCCATTTCCTAATTTAATCTCTCTCTAGAATTCATGTTTTCCACCTAGTTGCATGTTAAATTGTTTATAGAAAGGGAAATTATCACAAAAACCCTATCCTAGAAAGTAGCCTAGAGTAGCTTAATAGATAAGATGTACAAAGTTTTATTATTTGTTAGCTAAAGTATCTCATCTTGTAAGAGCCATAACACTTGAAGTAAGATTATATGTGAATTCCCTGTACTTCTAAGTGGTAGAATGTATTGGCTTTGTCTTCAGGCTTCACAACATAATGTGTGCACGTATTCTGTTGTTCCTGCACATCTTGTTTTCTTGTATGTGCACTGATGCTGTGTTTAGTTCTCTACAAGCCGAAGTGTACAAACAAAAAAGAAAAAGTGCCCCAGGATTTTGTATCCAAAGGATCTGATTTTACCAGCACTCTATTTAGGGAGTTCCTGTTGCAATATATGGGACTTCCATGGATGGAGCTCTAAATTAGGATATAATCATTTTGTTGAGTGCATAAAGTAAATATTTAAATTTAACTTATTAAAGCATGAAATTAGTCTTCCACTGGTCCATAGGACAAAGTTGTTCTGTGTCGTCCTGAACTCACTTTTTCTAGAGCATTATATTTTGTGAATGTAGTAGCAATAATATTAGTATAGTTACTAGTTAACCTTCATCTTTCAAGTGATGGGCAGTCCTCAGCTATCCCTGTAGCCAGTATGGAGTTTGCAGCGATTTGTCTAAGAAATGCCTTGCTGTTGCTGCCGGAAGATCAGCAGGAGCCAAAGCAGGAAAATGGATCTAAAACTAATAACCAGTTGGGAGGAAACGCAGAGAACAATGAAAGCAGTGAAGCATGCAGGTAAATACAATAGTAGATATTTCAGTTATTTAAAAAACTTTTTTTTTTCATCCACAGCATCTGAGTGAGATTTCTGTGCCTATTGCCTGTCCTGTAGTTTGACAGGCAGAAAAATAGAAAACGTAAAAGGTGATCTCAAACACATGCAAAGTCATTCTGTTACACTGGTAGCAGTTTTAAGTACTGCTAAGCAAACCTGAGTTAAAATTAGTGATTGGACTTCCACCATCAAACACTTACTTATTTTCTTTCAAAACAAAACAAAAACTACCCTTCAGCAATTAAATTGATTTTTACGAATGTTTTCACTGTCTTTTTACTTACGTTTTACAACTACTAAATGTGTTGACGGTGGTTTTTGTTTTCCCAGTTACCTCGGGGGTGCACATACTTCTGTAATGCTCAGGACTGGTCTATGCTGAACACTCACATTAGAATAGCTTCGTCTCTCGGGGGTGTGAAAAATTCACACTGGTGACAGGTGTAGCTATGCTGACCTAACCCCCAGTGTAAAGAGCACTAGGTCAATGGGAGAGTTTGTCGACCTAGCTACCACCTCTCAGGGAGGTGGACTAACTACAGTGACGACTAACTACAAACTAACAGTGCCGCTGTGGCACTGAAGTGCTTCAGTGTAGACACTCACTAGAGCAACTAACTACAGAACCCCTTCCATCGCTGCAGAGACTCTCCACTGGCACACTACAGCAGCACAGCTGCAGCAGAGGCAGCTATGCTGCTGTAGCATTTTAAGTGTAGACAAGCCCTTAGTGTCTTATACTTCAGTTCTAAACATCTGCCCTGGCCTCCGATTTGGTACATAGACAAATCACTCTTGGGTGCTGTATGCGATATTATGCTTATTTCTGAGGTGGGGGATGGAGGTTGGATTTCCATATAAAATCAGGGGTGTTGGAGAAAAGCATTAACAAAATTATGTAGAGAACTTTTCTTGGTTCCTGCCTGCACTGTGCCTGGTGTAATGCCGGTGAGTCCTTCGCTTTCATGGACACAGTCCTCTGAGAAAATGTTTAGAACACCAGCTTTGGGGGAAAAAAACAGGTAATACTGGAGGCCTTAGTTCGTTTAAGAAAAATAATAGAAAGTTGCATTTTGTTATACCCAAGTTCCAATATACAGTACTGAAAGTGCAGAAACCCCATTTATCCCTTTAACAGTTAAGGAATTCAGTCTATGTCGGGTATTTAAAGGAAACTTCTTTTCATTTTCTTTTTTCTTGCTATTGGGAGTATTTTTTCCCCACCATCTTTCCTTAGAAATCCTTCATGATCACAGTCCACAACTTGTGATTTTTCTTAGTGAATCATTCCTAGTGTGTCCCTTTTCCTTAACAGGAGTGAGGAAGAGAAAATGTGCATTGTAGAAGAGGATTTCTTACTGTCATATGATTTCAAAAGCATAGGCTTCTATAACTAACATTTTCACTATACCTCCCAAGGAACATTGTTGCCCCCCAAAAGTCCAATAACTAAGTATTCTCTTCCTGAATTCATGCTGCCAAGTTCTGAAAGGATTTTCATCCATTCCTCTCAGCTAGGAACCTTGTCTGTTTGGAGGTAGGGGGTAGGGACAATAGAAGAACCAAGATGGTGACATTCTCCTGAAAATATTGTACACGCTGGACCTTGTAACAGACATTCCCCTGGTGAAAAGGGGGTGGTTTTGTGTGTGTGTTCTACAACTTTAGGTAAGGTTTCTTTTACTTCTATACTTCTCTTGATGTTTGGTCCGAAGTTTGGACTGGAATAACGTCATTCATCTATACATGTATGAGGTAGTGCTTGTGGTAAGCAGAGATGAAGCAGTACTAGACTTGGGTGAAAATTTCTCACTGTTTGTGAAGTGGGCGAAAATAAAAAAAAATCCAAACCAAAAACTTGGTCTGTCGTATCCAAATTGTGTTGTTTTTTCTGCCGAAATGCAAGTGTAGTCTTTCCCCACCTCAGAAGGAAGCTGTTTTTCAGCTTATTGTAAACTGCAGTTCCACGTTTGCCAGTTCAGAAATTAGTGTTTGCTGCCAAAGATGGAAGGAAAGCTTTCAAAATTTGTCTTCAAGAAAAAGAAATGGTGAAAATACAAGTTTTGAGAGAGAAGTACGTCTTGAATTGTCCAAATATATGTGTATATTTCAGGTTTCACATAAGAATATTACTAACTGAAAAATAAGTGGATTCTTGGTGTGGTTGGTGTGTGTGTGTGTGTGTATATATATATATATATATATGATAAAGAATTCCTCTAATTGGACCATACATTGCTAAAAATTTCAAATTGTACTGGGCCTCTTCCTGTCCTTCCCCTAAGTTAGAGATAGCTTCCTTCCTTTTAATACAAACCCAACATAATCTGCATCTACCAGATTTAGTCGTTTCTCCTATAGAATTCTAAAAATAGCTTAAAGCTGCATAAGGTAGTGTTGGTGTTTTTTTTTTTCTTTTGTTGGTAAAAGGTTGTCACTGCCTCCCCCCAAAATTGGAATTGTTAATGATACCAGTGCTTGAAGTATTGCCAGCCCTCACTTTTGCTTCTTTGTCCAGCTTTTTCCATTTCAACATGTAGGATTCTTGCTGTTGTTTTAAAAAAAAAAAAAAAAAAAAAAAAAAAAGGCGGGGGGGATGAGGGGGATTAGTGTCCGTCGTTATTGCATTTACATTCCTTTTTTTTGTTAAAGGCTTGAAGGTCACTGCTCGCAATTAACAGGCTGTCTTCATTTCAGCAGTAAAAGTCATGAAGGAGATAAATTCATTCCAGCTCCACCTTCTTCACCTCTGAGAAAACAGGAATTAGAAAATTTAAGGTAAATACTTCTATTGCTTGGGAACTTGAAACTGACAAAAACAAGCAGAATGTCAGACTGTAGTTTAAAAGTGTTTTTAAAAAAGTCACATTGAACCCAAAAACTACATCACAGCTGCTAGGCATGGAATGAACTATCAGCAGATTACAAGGAAATTAGATTAATATTTATCTAAGAGGAAGGCACTTTCCTTCCTTAAGGCTACATTTTTAATTAAAAGAGTAAAACTCAATAAAGAGCAGGGTACAGGTAAAAAAACTGTAGCTTTGAGGTTTGTACACAAATCTAATGTCCCTTTTACTACATGTAAAGTGAGCATGCTTTTTTTTCCAGTCAAGAATCTGTGATTCCTGCTGCCATTAATGGAAATGATTGAGATTTCATTATGTTGCCTTTTCCTTCTAGAGCACTCGTAAGGCTAGCTTTCATGCCAGCCTATAATATCCCATCTTTCTTGGACAGATCGAAAATCAAAGTAATGTTAGTGCATATCACGCTTCCACATCACGACTCTCCTAACAAAGGTGACAGGGTAGTGAACTGAGGTTTTGAACCACATGTGATAGCCACCATATCGGTTTTAAGAAACTAGCATATTCCACTGAAGGATGTTAAGACAACTAAAAGCTATTAAAGTAATCTTAATGCAAATTTAGAGCTTTTTTCGTATATAAGTATAATCAAAGCAAGTTTTCTAAAGACTTGTCTAGACTAGGATTTAAAGATGTGATTTGAGCATGTGTTATCTAAATCGGGCTAACTAGTACGTTTTAAAAGTCTGGCCAATACAAGGGAATGCCTTTAACATTGCTCAAGTGGTTGATTTTAAAGCTTACACCCTAGCATGTCTTCATGTTCCAGGGCTACAAGTAACTGACTAGTTTTCCATTAGCAAATTCTTCAGACCTATGGTGCTTGGACATCAAGGTGATAGGTGCTTATACGTTGAATGTTAAGCGAATAGTAGGTAGTGGCAGCTGCTGGTGGTTTTCTTTTTACATGGGTGAGTATAGAATGTGGCAAATTGGCAGACCAAACTAAGTATGATTGTTTGTCATGGATTCTATAATTTTATTTTTAAAAATCATGACTTCACATTTTGGGATGTATATGAGATAGTAAGCAAGTATGCATGTTAAAGCTTTATTAATTTAATCATACTTAGCCTTTGACTGTACATAATTTTTTCAAACTCAGTTTCATATTATCTTTGTCCCATGTTGTTTTTGACCTTTTAAAAAGTACAGTTTTTCACCTCAAATTCCTCCAATCACTTCACTTTAGTTCTGCACAAGTTACTGAAATCTCAGGCTGTACCACATATGACCTTATGCTAAGTGCAAAAAAAAAAATCTGAAGTGCACACATCTGCTATGTGTGGCAAAACCAAGCCATTGGTGGAAACCCCAGGTCAACTAATACCATGTTCTAGTGTATTAAAACATCAGGCTGGAAGGTTCCAGAAAAAAGCCACTTCTACCAATCTGGAACCATTACATCTCCATTCCTTGGTCATCCCTGCCCATTACCTCAGAACTGGATTGGAGCAGTACCAGCCAGTGGAATCTGGCTGCATTAAAAACTGAAATGCATGTGACCTTAAAATCCAATGCTTTGTTGAACTGAATTCCTCAAGTGGATGTAGTGCTGTAATTTTGCTTTCTGTCTATATGCTGCTACTTGTCCTTTAAGTGCTACCATTTGGTAAAGTGGAATGTGAAAATCATCAGAAGACGGTGATGGTGTGTTTTGGGTTTGTGTGTGGGATTTTTTTTTAATAGAAACTGGAAGCCCAGAATAAGAGCTTAATAGTTCTGCTTGTATTTGTTGTGCTCCCTTTTAATACAGAAGCCCTGATCTCTGGTCCATGCACAAGCAAACAGTGGTTTATACTTTATCAGTCCAGTAAAGATGTGCAAAGAAACGGTTTGACATTTCAGCCTTCCAAAACTAGAAATCACCACTCTGGCATAGAAGTAAATTGGACAAATTAAACAGATGGGCTCTGTGGGGAGAAGGGGTGCGGGTGTCTTGGCTCTGGGGATGCCTTGTGGCTGGACTCTGGGGGAAGAGGGGTGCGGGTGTCTGAGCTCTGGTGCATGGGGCAGGTGTCTGGGTTGGGGGGGTTCCCTCTGGCTGGGCTCTAGGGGGAAGGGGTTGCCCTATGGCTGGGCTGGGCAGTGCCCACGGCTTGGCCCTGAGGGGAGGCGGTGCAGGTGACTGGGCTCTGGCGGCACACACAGTGGGCTCTGGGGGAAGAGGGGTGTGGGTGTCTGCACTCTGGGCGGGAGGGAGCAGGTGTCCGGGCTCTGGGGGCCCCATGCAGCCACCTTCAGTACTCCCCAACTGGAACTGGGTTGTAAGGGCTTCTTTAACTCTCTCTTCCTGGGGAATCTTTTTTGCTGTTGTCTATATTGTTGACATACTTGTTGACAGATGTTTTGAGATAAATTACCAAAATAATTGAAACTAGAGTGATTATATTGTGATATTTTGATAATAAAATATGCAGAATTTTTCAGAATTTTAAAATATTGTGTGCAGAATTTTTAATTTTTTGGTGCACAATTCCCCCAGAATTATTAAATGCAGTTCCTTGTATAACTGGTTCTTTTGGGGACAGTGATGGCAAAAGGAACAGGTGTTATTTCTAGTCTGTTCTAAAACAGTCTGCGCATTATGTAGAGTCAGATTCAACCCCTTATTGGAGTTTGGTGTTCTTAACCAAAATCAAATCTCAGCTCTAGCCTTTTATGTTCACAAGGTGCTTCTTCAAGGAGTGTCCCTGTGCAAGCTCCACTTTAGGTGAATCTGTGCCCCAGCGCTTGTAATCAGAGGTTTCTAGTAGCAGAGCGTGGGTGGTTCGCATATGCGCTGTCCTTGTCTCATGCCACCTATGGCGGTTACATAGTGCTGTGCGACCGACCCCCCCTCAGTGCCTTTTCTACTGCCTTCGGCTTGAGATGGAGCACTTAGAAGTGCCTCTGTACTTTGTCTTTCTCTAGTTTTAACTTTAGAATGCTAGTTAGTTAATCAATAGTTTAATTACTCTTCCTTGTTTTTGTTTTTTGTTTTTTAAGAAAAAATAAAAAACCTTTGTTTTCACTTAGGCATTTAAGTTTCAGTTACCCCTTAGTGTAGTATAGCTACCTTCTTCACAGGAGAAACCCTACTGTGAGGGGCATGCCCGGCTCCCCGGGTTTTAAACATTACCTCACTTGCTGCTCCTCAGTCATGGTGTGTGATGGACACTCAGTGTGTCCGCTGCCTCAGTGAGACAGACATACCTCAAAAGTGCTCCCACTGCCACAGCTTGAAAGTCTGTGCCAGGAGGGCGGGAGACATACAGCTAAAACTTCTCATGGTGGAGAAGTCTTTGTGCCCCGCATCCGATCTGGGATCACAGGCCCCTCCTGTGCAACAGTTTCCCACAGTGGCATCTGACAGAGATTCCCCTTCACCCTCTCAGTGGAAGGATCACAGAAGCAGGCTCTTACCTCCCTTCCTTGGGAATCAGCCAAAATGTGGAATTCCCTGACTTGGCAGACCCCATTGCTAAGGCTAAGATGATGTCACAGAGGTCGCGGAAGCCACGGAATCCATGACTTCCAGTGACCTCAGTGACATTGGGGACCCCGCAGCAGCCCAGCCTCTGTGGGTGGTGGGGGATCCTCCCGCAGCTGCCCAGCAACTGACCCCGGAGCTGCTCAGAAGGTAGGGGGTCAGCTGCAGCTCTCCAGACTCTGCTGCTGGCAGAGGCCCCTCCCTGCTTCCCGGCCGCTGCAGGTGGCGGGGGATCCCCCTCCAGCTGCAGCCCCACAGGACGGTAGCGGGACACACACACCCAGCTCCAGCCATGCAGGTACCCCTCCCAACCACTGAGCAATGGGGTCCCTGCAGCTGCCAGTTGCTGCAGGGTGGGGCAGGGTGCTGGACCCTCCTCCCTCCCCATTTTGTGAGGGATGTTTTTAGTAAAAGTCAGGGACCGGTCACGGCTTCTGTGATTTTTTTTGTTTTGTTTTGTTTGTTTAGTGCCAGTGACCTGTCCCTGACTTTTACTACAAATATCCAAGACAAAAATCATAGCCTTACCCATTGGTACCGACCACACCAAGACCTTCCACCTCTGAGTTAGTGGGATCATTCGGTATCATGGGTACTATGCGAGCAAAAGACCCTAAATGGGCTGGCTTGGAAAAAGGCACGACAGGAAGACCTACAGTCCCTCCCTCAGTACTGCTGGAGCAGCTCAAACATGCAGCACTGTGGCGCTACCTGCTGCCTCTATAGCGCATCGCGTATGACCCCTGGCACCATCAACTGCAGCAAAGGCACCGGTACTGCTGACAACACCCTCGGTACTGGTGCTCTCGATACCGCAGCAGTTTCTCTGCCACAAAGATCTTCTAGTCTCCTCAGCACCGGAATCTCCACTCCTCAGTACCGACTTCACTCCAGGACACTCGGTACTAAGCCAACTTACCACATCCCCAGATCAACTCCTTCTTTATCTAGCAATGAAGACGGTGAGGGTGAAGGGGAAATCTACTCTTCACCTATCCACGCAGCTACTAGAACCTACTCAAGACAGTAGCTCTCTTCACACATCTAGGCCTACAAATAAATGAACAAAAATCAACACACACCTGTGCAGAAACTGGAGTTCGTTGGGGCCTACCTCGACTCTCTGGAGGCTACAGCCTCACTGCCCTGACAGAGGTTTAGCACTTGAGTAAATCTAATCACCACAACGCAAGCCAGTCCACAGACATCGGCCAGGACCTGCCTCCAACTGTTAGGCCACATGTCAGCAATGACATTTGTGTCAAATATGCCAGACTGCACATATGATGCCTGCAAGGCTGGCTCAGGACAGTATATATTCCACACAGACACAGCATTAACAAATGTTTTATAATGCCAACCAAAGTAAAAAAAAAAACAACAAACTTTACATTAGTGGACGCAACCAAACAATGTTTGTGCAGGAATTCTCTTTG